GGCACAAAAATTAACCTCATGGAGGACTTTAGAGAAATTCACTGCGCTTATTACTTACACTCATAAACATAAAGCGGAAGGACATCGTACCAGTGTCGGCGTAGGCCAGCTGCGCAAGAAGTGCCTTCTCAACAGCTCCTCCGGCGTCCGAGTCCGCAGTCTGCCTCGGTTTGCAGATTATGTTACTTCCATGTGTAAATAAATAGGTATTTGTATGGACACACACATATGTCTTATCACTGTCCCTCCCTCACCCTCTCTCCAAGCATTTTAACTGTGCGATGTCTATATTTCTTTAGTCTTGTCCTGTAAATGACATTTTCTCTAAGGTTCATTAGCATATAAAGAAATCCTGAAATAATTATTTAGAAAACACAGCTATTTTCTGCCGCGGGGTATTCTTGTGGGATTGATTTCTGGATTACTGAGTATTAGGCAGTGTCAAATTTCTTTCTTTTTTTTTTTTTTAACATTTATTTAGTGTGTGTGTGTGTGTGTGTGTGTGTGTGGCCAGCTCAGCCCACCAGGGGGTGGGGCTGGCTGGCATGTGGTGCTGGGGGATTGAACCGCGGTCCCTGTGCTTTGCCAAGCTTGTTCTAAGTAGGTGCTTTAGACCACTGAGCCATCTCTCCAGCCCCTGTCAAATTTCTTAAGACGTGAAAGATTGTTATACACAAATGACTTGATTAGAATCAGTTATAATAACCGCTCTGGTTCTTAAGAACTCTTTAGTGTTGTTACATGTAGAGACTGACTTTCCAGTTAATTTTCTCCTCACCTTTTGGTTTGCTGTAACAAGCATCGTATTAACTTATACTTGTGTTTGTTTCTTGCGCTGGTGAGTTCCAGCCCAGGCTCATGCATGCTAAGCAAGCGTGCTGTGATGGCCACACCTGAGATCCCAGCACTCGGGAGGCAGAGGCAGGACGATCCTTGCAAGTGCAAGACCAGCGTTGGCTGCAAAGTGAGCTCGAGGCCAACCTAAACTGCATAACAAGACCCTGTCTCCAAAAGAAAAAAAAAAATAATAATAATATGGTGACGGAGCCATGGTCCCAATCCCCATGATGAACTTTATAAAATTTTTCAAAGAAAATTTAATCCCCTCCCTTGAGATAATTAGTGTGAATCATTTGATTCATTGGCTTCTCTAATTTTCTTTGTTCTTATACAAATATTTAGAAATACATTTACAGATATTTTTCTTCTATACAGACAAGATAATAGTACATACATTTTCCTAGAACTTGCCTTTACTGTTAATAACAAATATGTGAACATTTTATATAATTTTATTTACTAAATACATCAGCCTCCTGTTTGATCATTACATGAGGGGCATCATTAGTTCACTGACTCACCTTAGCTCACTTTGTTATTTTGTCAGTAGTGAGTGGTAGGGTTGGTAAGAGTTAAAAGTTCAGTATCAGGACTGGGGAAATAGCTCAGCGGCATGAGCGCCTGCCTTGGGAGTGCAAGGTCCCAAGTTCAATTCCTGGTGCTGAAAAAAAAAAGGAAAAACAATCCCCCAAATGTAAAAATTAAATGTCAAAGAAGTATCTGTGGGCCATTTGTGTAGTGATTGGGACATCATTTAGTGCTAAGGACTCTTTCCCAGAGATTGAGGTGTGGATTGGTATGATTTCTGTCAGCAGCAGGAAGAAATGGGACCAGTAGCTGGATGATTCTGTATAGCCGTAGCAGATCGTTATCTGTAGTTATTCGAAGACGTCTAAAAATAGTCTTTCTTGTGTCAACTGTCACTTATGCCATCACAGAGCTCACCCACATCTGTGAGGCGTTGTCCCCAGTGAGTTCCTCCTCAGAACGCCCAGAAGCCATGGCAACAAGGCCTCACAAACATGAGATGGGCTTTTAATTAGAACCTCGAAAGCACCTTGCAGGAAGTTTCAAAAACTACTGCGTTGTATGAAGAAAAGTTATAATTACTGTCGTCATCTTAGCATGCAGAGCAGGTATATTTTTGGACTATTTCTTAGGAATAAGCATCATCCTTTAATTGGAATGCATGCATCTTACATTGGAGGTTAGAGTAAAAGTCAACCAAAGTTATCATTTATCCATATGATTTTATTGTATGTGGACATATGAGGAAGCTAGGTGATGGCTTTTCTTTCATTATTCACAATGTAAGTGCAAAGATTTAATTTGCTTTAAGATCATCAGTCCTAAGAGCACAGGTGCTTAGCTACCTATTTGTATATCAATTTTCTTTTCCATTTTTTTTTTTTTTGTTGTTGTTGTTGTTGTCAAAATCAGTATGCTATTTGGAAACAGCCAAATAGTTTCTGGATAGCTGAGGAGCTAAGATCAGGAGAGCAAGAAAGATTCAGTCTGCCTGGGAAATTACTTGAACTAGGCCATATAAGCCAGAGCCCTGAGATTAAATCCCTTTTTCATGGTTAGTTTGGACACTGGTCACATAGACAAATTCACCTGACATCTTTGAACTCGGTCTCTTACAGAGGATAAAGAAACTATGGGAAGAATGATTCTTTATATGCCTTCTAGAGCTAATACTTCATGGTTAAAAACATATATAAAACAAAGAACCTTTGAAAATGACTGAATTTATGTAACAGGACAAAAATCAGGAAAAAGTAAACAGATGGTTATTTTTTATTTCAAATATTAGAAAACTGAGCTGCAATCAAAAATGTGATGAACATTTAAATAAAAATACTTAGTAAAAGATACATTGCCATCACTCCCCTCAGAATACACCTCCTTTCTTCAGTTGCTCTTACCCTTTGTCTTTGCCACTTCCTGAAGCAGTTTATTGTAAATTCTGTCCATTAAAACAGCCAGGTATTTCCTCAGGTACTTCATTTACTAGGTCTGGCCTTGTGTGACTTCTGGTTCTTCCCCAATGGCAAAGTGACCATGAAAGGTCATTCTGAATAGGTCCTGGCATCCGTCCATACACAATAGAGTGGCTATAGAAACTCATAAAAGAAAGTCTTCAAATCTGCTTCAGAAAGTGCAAGAGTAGTGGGGTACCAAGGCTCTAAGCAAGGAGTATTTTGTGGGGATTTAGTGATCACATGCCTTTTACTGTAAGAAATGTCTTCAAAATGTACCCATTTGCTGCATTTGTTGACCACACCTCCTAGAAGAATCAGGTAACTAGCTAAGAAATGAAACTGAAAACAGAATTCTTGGAGAACAAAATCTATAGCAAGCCTGCTGAGTTATCTTGAAACCCTTAGTACTTCCATTTCCTTCCCAATTCTTCACTCTGAAGCAAACTGAAGTGTTTTACTCAGAGTTGTTACTCACTCAACAGTTGGGGATTTAATAAGTTACTAAAAAAATAAAAATAAAATAAATACTTGGGGGCTAACTTATCCCAGAAAAACATTTTAAGCAGTACAGATGTTGTGGTGCAACTTCCTTTCACTTACTATGTAGTCCCAGAAAGATGTGGAGTTTAAAAAAGATTGGACCCAACTGAGATCAGTCAGATTAGATTTTATGAAAGCTCTGTTGCCAAATAAGAACCATAAAAATGTACAAAGTACAT